CTGCCTTCATTTGTATATACTTATAAAATATGTCTTTTTCAGACGAAATATTGTCATTGTGGGTAATGCTCGAGAACTTCTCGTATAATGAGAAAAAATTGACATGATTTTATTTCTTTTTTAGTATATTAAAATAAAATGAGTGATCTTTTTTAAATTTTGAAAATAATACAACATATCTTTAATTTTAATATGTTTAAGATTATAAGAAGTTTCTTTAGTATTTTATTAATATTTTTGTTCAGTCAAATAAGTTCACATAAAATAAAATGAGAGTCTAGTTATTTACTCGTAAAACAACCGAACCTTTTGATTCTAATTGAATCATGAAAGCTTACGTATGTTTTATTTTTGAAAAGCATAGTTTTCTGCTTATATAAGTTATACATTTGGACATTTAAATTGGAGATGGCTCCTTTTTAATTTCTTAAACATTCTTTATGTCTTTTGGAAATATACTTTGACTTGGTAGCAAGAAAAGCAAAAGAAACTATTACAATATCTTCAAAAGGCAATCACCATTCCCCCCACCAAAAAGTGTTCATAATCATACGATGTAGTTTGTGCCTAATTTTTAATATGAATTCATATGATTTTGAATATATAATTTATATTTGTTTTCAAACTAATGGTGTCCTTTCAATTAGTGTTATATTTATAGATATGATCATTCTTCTTGAAGTACGTCAACAAAAAAGAAAAAAAGTTCTAACTAATGATTTTTCCAGAAACCATATTTTATTGTTAATGGAAAATTAGTGACCAATATTAGTACTTATAAAATGCAATAAAAGGAAAAAGGAAGAATTGTTTAATATATAAATGCAGCATGAAACATGCAAAAATGGTCATTTTCCGCAATAATGATATTTCTATTATAAAAAAGGGAAGTTGATGCACAAATCATCTTCGTATTCATTCAAAGTCGAGTGAATGGTAAACCGTACCCTATTTCTAATACATATATTAAATTATTTTCATAGTTTAAATCCATAACCTATCGGACACACATAAATAATTTTACCATTTGACAGGCTAAAACAAGGTTAATTTCACACTTTAACATGATCATTAATAACATGTTTGGCGCAGAAAGTGTATACAATTTATTTAATATATATACTCTTCTATGTCGAATCTCAAACACACGCAACGAATGTCTGCTCTTTCCCTTTTCTTTAATTTTTTTGTTATAACTTCTTTCTTCTGCTTAAAAGAAATTCCCTTCTCACTCCATCACGATATAGAAAAAATAATAATCTGTTTTGTACATTTTAAAAATGCCAAATAGAATTCTGTATCTAGCCAGATAAAAATGATTTTAAAAATAGTACTTCCTCCGTATTTCGATGTATATAAATATCTTTTCATTTTAATATTTTTAATTAAAAGAGAATATAATTTTTTTATATTTAACGTAACACTCTAATATTCCTGTTGTATTCTTATGAAAAATATCCTCATTTTACCTTTCATGAGATGACTCTTATCTGAATGTTACCATGACATAATTAAAATAAAAAACACAAAAAAGTACTTTTAATATACTATATATATAGCTTAAAATTACCAGAAAATCTTTATACTCTTAAAACTTGGTGCATATCCCAATTAAACCAAAACATACGATAAAATAAAACAAATAAAGATGGAGCTATTTGGCTCTTAATGATCAAATTGTGTTAATGTTCATGCCTAGCTAGCTCATGAGATTTGCTAATTAAAATAAATTATCTAGATCAACATCTGTACATCTAGTTGTTTATTATCATTATTAAGGAATTAAAATCACATGCTGGGCCTGGGCATTGAGAGAGGATAAGAGAAAAAGATTGATGTTGATCTATATATTTACGAAGATTAATTATAATTATAAATCTAGATCTCTAGCTTGTTAACCATGATAATTATTTAGAGGAGCTTATAATTAACCGACAAACCCTAGAGCTACCCGTGAAGGTATTGTTGGAGTTTCCTACTTATTTCCGCTCTTAATTATTACTCTAATTAATATTAAGTATAAAAAATGGAAAAGAGCTGTTTGGAAAGGTGAGCACATGTCAGCCACCCAATTTTTTAACAACACAAATTCCAATTAAGTGGGAGAAATTGTTAAATTTTATTAATTAACTACATATCCATATTTAATAAATCCACTATAACAAGGAATAACACAAACCCTTAACTTAATTAATTCCATTAAAAAGTGGTTTGGTTTGGGTTAATCAGCAAGCTTTATTTGTGTCCATATCTCTAATAATCATATTTGCGTAAGTGCTTACGTATGGTTGGGAATTAAAGGATCATTTACTATTTAGTTATTAGTTAGAACTATACAAATATTAGTGATGCAAAAATTAGTTATTTCATCTTCTATCGCCTATAGAAATTATATATAGGTTCTGTCATAAATAACTTTTGCATGTTAGTTATGTGAGAAATGTAAACTAGTTATTCACAATATATACTTGTCATGATGTTTAGAGTTTCATTTTTACGCAACAACTAAAATGTTACCACATATAATACTCATTAATTCACTTCCTAACCATCAACCAAATACTCATTAATTCACTTCCTAACCATCAACCAAAGGATCCCTATGATAAGTGGTCCTCACGTTAATATATATATTATATATATTTTTATCGTTTCTTTCCTTTTGTACTTATTTGTTGTCATTTTTAATGTGTGAAGATATTTAAGCACACTAGAAATGTTGGATCATCACATTTTCTAATTATTTATGTATCTGTCACCGAAAAATTCCTTTTGGATTAATTGATGACATTTTTACAGTTTATCACTATAAAATAACTTATCCACTGCTTGATAGTTGATGCAGCATTAATTTTAGCATAATATAACCAAATCGTTTGCATCTCTTGTCAGAAATATAAGGACCAAGATTGGAGTATATATGATTTGTCCAAATTACTTGTTTGGTGAACTGACATATATATGTATAATAATAATATTTTTTTTCTTAGTTGTTTAAATGAGTTCCAATACATCTTATTGTGCTTCTCAAAGATCGATAAGAACAAGTCTCATTACTTCGATGAAATGATCAGATCTCCAGTAATCAATTATAATCTGTAGATGAAAAAAATGGCCTTTTTAAGATCTCAATTATTTCATTCTTTGTGTTACTTTTTTTCATGTCAAATATAACTAGAAGTTGCATTTGAAATGTGGAAAACACTCAAAATTTTATTTTCACCTTTATTATATTTTGCTTTTTCAAATTTATCCTAAATATTTTATTCTTATAAAAATAACCACATTAAATTGTGCCTTATGTTTGAATCATATTTTATATTTTTTTATGAATAGTATATTCAAACAATCAATTATTATTTACAAAAACAATACCACAACTTCAATCTTCAAAAAAATCAAATTATAAAGTGAAAAGATGTTTGTAATGATGTGTACGTAGTAGCTCGTATATATATGAGATCTAATCTAGCTATGGCACTATGTGACTATCTATTTTGAGATAATTACTCTTTTAGAACAAATTTGATTATACGTTTGAGTTAAATCAGTTGAGTTGGGTGATTTTTGTTAGTTTTTATATATCATGTGAGGTATAAATCATATCCAAAAGAATACATCCAAATTTCAAATATTCTTTCTAAAAATTATGGTAAACAAAACTCCAACTCTAATTTTAACTTTGAAAATTCAAAATAAAATGAATATTTCTTTTGATTTTCGTGGTCAAACGCCAATAGCCATATAGCTAAAAGAAAATGATCTGTAATGGACTAAAAAATCGATCCCCGTTAATTCTAACATTTTGTTGCCTATTTTTTTTAATACAAAATTTGTGTAGTCATCACAACAACAACAAAATGCTCTCAATAGGATTTTAGTTTTTAGCGTTAAGAGATGAGGGTATATAAATTTAAGGTTGTTTTCTGAAGAATACACCATCTTTAATTATTGCTTTTGAACTTTGATGTTAGTCTAGTGGATTAGCTAGACTTCATAATTCATTGAGCAAATTAGTGTCATTGTTGGTATTCACAGAAAGGAGGCAACAAATTAAAACGTTAAAATTGAGGGGAAATTATAAAATTCCACTAGTTTAATTAGGAGCTAATTAGTTAGATACGTAAACTCTAATTTGTAATATTATGAATCTTACTAGATTTTGGTGCGTCTAGATACGTTCAAATACATGTATCTTGGAATACATGAAGTCAAAATTAGATGTAACTTGTTCTAGATACATTGTATATCCAAATGGATTCGCTTGTATTTGAAATATATAGACAAATCTCGCTTGCCTCCCACCCATCTCGCTCGCCACTCTCCTATGTATCTACTATATCAGATACATGCGAATCACACCAGATACATGTATCTAATGTGTATCTAGTGTGATTCGCATGTATCTGAGATACATGTCTATCTCATTCACCTCTCTCCCATCTTGCTCGCGCGTTTGTATGTATTTGATGTGATTTGCATGTATTTGAGATACATACATTTATATCTCGTCCGCCTCTCTCCCTATTTTAGTGTCTTTGGTATAAAAAATAAATGTATTTAGGTGTATCTTATACGATAGTAAGCTCTTAATTAGTGGTAAGATACATAATTATTTAAAAATATAAAATTAATATATATGATATGGATGTATGTCTAATAAGTAGCTCAAACTTGTGTATGTCTTGTTACTTGTTACTAGTATTTAGGTTTGATTCTGAACTGGCTAAATTTATAAATGGTGCCTCTATAATTGGCTATTACATAAATGATGCCCCTAAATTCGCTATCCGTGCACTTGCCCCAGCCCAAAAGAAATGTAATCTCTATGGGTCTAATTTGAATAAATAAAAAAGATAAAATTCATAAAAACAAAAGTAACTGCCCTCACGCAGGATCGAACTGCGGACCTTCAGTTTACAAGACTGACGCTCTACCACTGAGCTATAAGGGCTTCCTGGTGCTATATTAGCTGCTTACATATAATTTTGTCCACTTAGAATTTTTTGTGTTTTTGCCCTATTTTTAGTATTGTTGCGATTCATTGTTGATTTGAATGAGCGAGCAATTCAATGGAGAAGGAGAACACCTTCGATCCTGTAATCATTCCTTCTTCTTAGCTATTCAATTTCCATGAATTTGTTCCCTGACGAAAGTATTTGATCTGAAAATCTAGAACTACTTTGTTTGGCTTTAAACAGGATTTGGTTCACGAAATTTTCAAGCTTGTTTGGAAAAGAAAAGCTGCAGGTTCAATTTCACTTTTTCTTCTGCAATTGAATTTTCTTGGTTTTATTTTCTCTTTACCTATTTGATAATTGTTGCAGAACGAGGGAAAAATGAATTATCTGAGAATATAGAGAACGAGGTAAGCAGAATTCATCAATCCTTTCATTTTAACATTACTTATTTGTTGTTTTTGATACTTTTTCAATTATTTTGCTTGAGTTTGCGAATTTTGTTGGAATTATTGTGTGTGGTTCAAGTGTGTGTTGTTGAGCTTGAAAGCATTTTGTAAATGTGTTTGTAGGTTGGGGCTAGCTCATCAAAGAGATTTCGGCCTACTTTTGGTAAGAACTCGGCTAATACATTTGTTTTCAGCTCAAGTATGCTACTGTGTTGAATATTAGCATGTCTTTCTGATTACTTTTAGAATCATGGTTTCGAATTTGGATATTGATTCAATTGGTTAAATACACTCCGGAGGTTTTAGATTTTTTAAGTGAGATTGCTTTTAGGTTTATTTTTGGATTTTTAAAATGTGGATTAAGGCATGATCTATCTAAATATTTTGGAAATAAACAAATTAGAACGTAAAAGAATTCAATTAGCTTATTTAGGAACATCCCCTTCAAGGTTGCCATAATGGAATTACAGAAGCCAATTACATATCTTAAGAAAGGCGTAAGACATGATAAAGATAGGGCAGGTGCTTAATAGATGTGCAATGGTATATAGAGAGCACATGAATAAAGTTATAACAAGATTAATTCCAATTCTACAACCCAGGTCATCGCTGAAGATAGTTTTGCACAGCAAATGTACTCTCTTAGTTCTTTTACCCTAACAAAAGGGAAAAGAGAAAGACAAAAAGCTTGCATTATTGCTTTCCGTGAAGGTCGTGTTTGCTTTATTTTATGTATCACGGAGACATTCTCAGTCTAAAATTCAAATTTCTCTTACTTGTAACCTGGTGTAGACGAACTTAAACATTAGTGAAAAGAATTAGTACATTTGTTCTAGGATCCAGTTAGGATATTCCCCAAATTTTTACTAGAGGAAGATTCAGTTTAAATGTCACTCATGGCAAGTTGCAAGGATTTCTGAGCAAGATATTTCTTTGTGCTTTTATCAATCAGAAAAGTAAACTAATATACTTCTCCCTTTTTTTCTATTTTATTGTACCATTGTTAGTCTCTTCATGACAAGTAAGGTAGCATAACTCGAAAGAAAAGGGAAGACAATGAAGAAGGTTTAATTTCTGTTTTGTTTTGCCATTTCTCATTTCTTGTAATGGCTTTAGATGTACTAGAAATGTGGGTTGTGGCAAGCAAGCTTTTCTGAGTATTACCTTCTTGATAACAATGACATATCTAACCTTTAACAAGAACTACATTTAGCCCACCTTTAGTAACTGCTTCTTACACTGGTATTTACATTTTCTTATATGTGTTGGACCTCTGGTTTGTTATATATTAGCTGAAAGTGGAATACGTTCCTTGGACAATGAGTTATCCTTCTCATGTGTGTGTTTCTGTGTTGATGATAAAAGCCAATGCAAATGCACTGAAGCTGAGCTCTGAACTCCTCCGAGTCTTTGTAGCAGGTTTGACCATCAATGAAGAAAAATTATGTTATTTACTTGGCTAAACTTTCCCCTGCATTCTTTTTATTTTGAGATCTGTTTCCTTGATGTAGAAGCTATACAACGTGCTGCTACTATTGCTGAAGCCGAGGGCAGTGTCAAAATCGAAGCAACTCATCTAGAGAGGATACTTCCTCAGTTACTTTTAGATTTTTAAGTTACTTGAACGCAGTAGCGGACTCAGGATTTTTGCTCAGGGGTTTGAAATATAAAGAAGAAGTTAAGTTGATAATGTAATTGCGCAGTGAGCGTAGTAGCCCCTCAGCATGCTCTTTGTACAAGAACCATAGATATTTCATTGGTTCATAAAAGTAAAGACTAAACTAATCAAAGATATTGAGGACAAAGATGCATTGATAAGAATTTTAGTGGATCGACTGTATTACATAAGTTAGTTTTTAAAACACGTGAAAATTAAATGATGAAAAAGGGAGCGAGACGGGGAAGAAAGATATTTACCTTAACATGCTAAATTTAACTCACTTTATTGCGTATTAAACATTTCTTTTTACTTTTATCATGCTCCATCGAGCATTCTTAAAATTTCTTGTGCTTTTTATGCTTTTATTTTGTAATGTTTTACTTTATATTTCACTTTAAAAAAAAATTAAATTAGTATCCAATCAATCAAATATACTATGAAAATCGTCAAGATTCTCTAAAAGTGTGTAAGAATAGAGTTACTAATATTATAATGCATATTCAGAAGATAAATAAATAGCATCGTCAATTTTTTTAGTTCATATAGTTCAATTTACGAGGTTAGTCATAATTTGTAAAAAAAAAAAATAATAACGAATAAATCAAACAAGTTTAGTTTCCATCTCTCTAAATTAGAATTTAAAATATAAAAGAAATTTCATGAATTCTATTAAATCAATATTTTTAAAAGCATGTTGACGATATTCAAGTTTTTTCATTCAATTACATCTAATTTACATTTTTTTAAAATAAATTATATTTCTATCTCAATTTCAAGTTAAATATAATTCATCATTTTTAAAAAAAGTTATTCAAACGTATATGAAAAAAGAATTACGTTGAAACAAAATGAATAATTGATATAAAAAGAATAAAATATAAAAATAAAAAGAATGTGTCTAATAAATTTAAACAAAAACAAATTAAAAAGAAGAAATGGAATAAAAGGAAAAAATAATGAAAAGGAAGAAGAAGGCTATCCCAAAAGTTCCATTTCCCAAAGCATTAAAAAAAAGAGGGAAAAAATGTTGCCAATAGGATTTGAACTCATGACAAAGGGGCATTTCATGAATCACTTATTCACTGAGCCAAGTCTGTCCTTTGTTTTCAGGGGGTTCATTTAAATATATACATACATAAAATCAGAATTTGACGTTATATATAGTGTAATTTTTTGACGAGGGGGTTTGGGTGAACCCCTAGGCTCCACCTAGGTCCACCCCTGCTTGAACGAGATACGAAATTTATGAAGTTATGTCTGTAGAGTGCAAAAATGGGGTTTATCTTTTTAAAAATAGGAATGCCACTTTTCTCCTCTAAACATGCAAGATGATGGATGATTTCTTTTGTAGCTGTTGGACTAACTTGAAAATATTGATAAGACGTGTGCTTTTAGAATTTACGATACTCCATATGTAGCACATGTTAGTTCATTTAGAAAATGCTCCTGAAGAAATTTTTGTTTTCTTAAGATAATCACAATTTTTTATATTAGTTTTCTATTCAATCTTATTCATTGAAGACGTTTTTAGTGCTAGAAATTATTGTCATGCATTGTGATTGAATCACTTAACTTTCCTTCACAAAGTGCAATTTGGCAAGGATGACTGCAAATTTGCGAAATTGCTAGATCAAAAGCAAGTAAGGTAAATCTTATACCATGTATTTTATCAATGTTTTGAAGACGAAACTTAATGGTATATTATCCTGTCTGGCAATGTTTCATATTTGCGCAATTGCATGCATAATCTGCTCTAAGATTAACAATTGCAGAGGAATGAGGTGATACACCATTTTGTAATTTAGTGCTTACGTAAAATCGAAAGGAATAAAACAAAATGAGGTCTGAATCCATTCAATGTTATTGATAAGTTAGGACACAACACTGTAGGATATACAAGAACATTCAAATGAAAATGGAAGGACTAGTTTTTGCAATTTCTGGTTCTAGGATGCCTTTCTTATTTCAATAATTTGCTAAGACCATTGAATGAAGTAAAACATACAGGAAATTTGAATTCATGATTGGTACTTCTGGCTTTTAGCTATTGCTCACAGCATGGAGGATTCTGGTTCTACACCTTTAGTTATAAGAAAGCTATTACCTGGACAAGCAATCATGTTATTGGTGTCTTCTGCATGCAAGATGATCAGGTTTTTTTGCCAGATATCCTAAATAAGTTCATTGGTTGTTACTCTATTAGTGGTTAGAACACTGTTTCCTCTTCGAATGATTCTGAATGCTTGCTGTATCATACTAATGAACCGAATAAGAATATGCTTTCTGTTTCATGTTTAAAATCTTCCATGATCTAGGGGTACTTAGAGTTTTATAGACCAATTCACTAGCTACTCTCTTGCTTGTGAATACAAGTGTTTCTATATTGATCATATTAGTATATCGGAGAATTAGTAGTTTCTAGACTGAGTGGAAAGAATTCCATGCACATCTCCAACTACAGAGTACAGACAATAGCGTCCGGAGAATTAGTAGTTTCTGCATCTAGTGGAAAGAATTCGATTCACATTTCGTACCATGCTTTATAATATAGCAGAGGAAACTTCTGCAAAGAACTTTCATACAGCTAAATATAAACTTCTCATTTTGGAGAGGAAACAAAACACACAAGGACAGTCTCTCATATTGGAGATGTAACAGAATACACAAGGACCGTCATACACAAGAAATATTCTCTTAGTTTCATGACAAACTTTTATTTACTGTAAGTTATCCACTACATACTTAATGCTTGATCTGCATCAACATGCACCTAACATCCTTACTATTAGGCCTCTCCTTAGGATTCTCCAGGGTACAAAAACAGGCAATCTTGAGAACCAAAAGCATTTGGTCCTCATTTCCATTACCCATCAGCTTTGGATCAATTGCTCTGTTTGGATCCTCAGAAGTCATGACATTTCTCATCCATTTCACTAAACTCATCTCAGAAGTGTTCTGGAAGAACTCATCAGATGGAAGCTTTCCCATAACTAGCACGCCTAGCAGCACCCCGAAGCTGTATATATCACACTTATCAGTGAACTTCAGTGTCTGATGATATTCTGGAGCGATGTATCCTATAGTTCCTGCCACATTTGAAGTTGTAATATGTGTATGAGCATCTGGGACAGCCTTTGCAAGGCCAAAATCCGCAATTCGAGCTTCCATGTCATCATCAAGGAGGACATTGCCTGGCTTTAGATCTCTGTGAATTATACGCTGAGTATGATTTATATGGAGATACTCGAGTCCAGCAGCTATTCCCATTGCAATTCGGTGACGTGCAGACCAATCTAGTTCCCGTGTCCCCTCTCTGACTTGCTGGAGGGTATCCTGTAAGCTCCCATTTTTCATGTACTCATAGACCAAGTAATGGCAGTCTGGTCTTGGCATATGTGCCAGTAGGGGAAGCAAATTCCGGTGTCTGATTTGACCTACAATTTTGATTTCTGATTTAATCTGGCGCATTTTCTTACTCATAGCCTTGCTATCTTCCTCAGTGAGTTCTGCAGCATCCCTTGGTGGTTGTATGATCTTCTTTACGGCTATAATCTTTCCGTCACTTCCAGGTAACGCAGCTTTATAAACTTTTCCACATCCACCTTGCCCAATGAGTTCTAGTGATTCCAATCCATCTTCGTTCTCCAGAAAGGCCAAGTGCTCGGCTTTCTTAATCAATGGACTGAAAATTGTTAAGCCTGAATCATTTCTGATCCCTCTGATTAAAAACATAAGCACCTTGAAGAGGACAGAGAAGACCAACGCCGATAAGCCCCCAGCGAAAACTCCAGCAAAGAATCCAAGAATCCAGGCGCCTACCTTCCTTCTGATCTTGTTGTGTTTGTCTTTTTTTACTGGTACTACAACTGTACTAGGTCCTGGAGCTTGGGCATATCCTGATTTGGACTCTGGTGCCATTGCAGGGGTGTGCCTTGGCCTTCTTTCATTCTCAGCAAGAATGTAACGCTTAGGAACATAATCTTTTCGATTTAAGTCTGCTGATAAGTGCTCAACTTGACTCACGGCAGGCACCGTACCTTCAAGGAAACTATTGCCTGAAATGTTGAGGAGCCGGAGATTTCTGAAAGATTTCAAGGATTGAGGTATTCTGCCAGTAAACATGTTATCAGCAAGGGAGAGTTTTTCAAGGTTAGGAAAGTATTTCAAGAAGTTCAGGTTCCCAGATAACTCATTAGAGCCAAGGTCAAGGGTACGAAGGCGGACTAGAGATGATAATTCAGGTGGGACTTTGCCAGAAAATTGGTTGTTTTGAAGGTTCAAGATTTCCAATTTCCTGGAGTCAACGATTTCAGTTGGTATTCTGTCAAAGAGTTTGTTGTTTTGGAGGGACAGTTCTTTGAGCTCAGAAAGCCTCCCAATGGCAGGAGACAGAGTACCCTTCAACCCGTAGGATTTGAAGACAACCCTTGTGACTCTTAGCACGTATGAATTGTTTGTGAGTCGTTTTTCGCATGATATTCCAACGGAGTTGCATGGGTTCTCAAGAGCATTGCGGTGAGCAGGGATGCCTAAGCCTTTTTGGACAAGCAAAAGAGCACTGTGATCAGGTGAGTAAAGGTTGAGTTTTGCTTGAACAAGAAGGATCACAGTGAAAAAAGACAAAAAAGAAAGGTGTATATGTGAGGCTGTGAAGGCCATCGGATTGGTGCAGTATTGTGGTGGAATTGGGAGTTGGATGAGGCACCACACTGGTGGTGCTTGAGGAGTAGGATGTCTCTTTTAGTTGCTTGGTGGTTCTGAAGGCTGATATTTAAGGTAATAAGAAGTGGCAAATGACTTCATAAGTCAAGTTGGGACCTATGTGGAAAATTTGAGTCGTCCAGGGTCCCAATGGATATAATTTCTTCTTCTAATGAGTTGACCTGTGAAATTCCTCATTTGCCATTTGCATTACCCAATTATTTCGGGACAAGAGTGCTTAGTTCATTTTCCCAAGTTCTTTTGTTTATGTTTGCTATTACCTCAAACCTTATGTATTATAATTCATTCATATACTATTTATGCAGGTAATTTATATGCTTCAATTGGCTCATTTAGTACTTAGGCTAAATAGTATCCATCTGTGTCATAAAGATGAATATGAAGCAAATTGGAGAATTCATTGGATTCAAAAGAGAATGTACAATGGCAGAGAGTGACAAGGTGAAGTAAATAATGGGATTGACTAGTTGAGGTCATTTTTGTTGCCCAATTGGTGGGAGGAGTTACATCACCTTTTGGGAAAATCATGTCTGCTTCATTAATAGCTATATGGTCCCTAAATTTGTCAGGAAACCATATTTTTCAAACAGATTTATTCCTTGATTTTTCTACGCAAATAGCTGGTCGGATTCACTATTTACTTATTCTAACTAGAATATAAACGGTTATACATATATGTTACACAATTACCTACTATTTTTAGTTTTAAGTAGTTGAGTGAGTGGCTATATAGGTTGGGTTTTTTTTTTCCTGATCAGGTCGAGATCATTTATTTTTGGAATGAAATCTACAATTAATTTCTGCAATCAATTCAAACTTTAAAGTGAAAAACAGTGAGCATGTATAGTAAATTTTCTTGGCATCTTCACAATCTTATAAATGTAAGAAGAGTAACCAATTCCGATTGAAAGAACGTAACCATGTATAGATTACGTGATCGAATTGCATGTTTTTTTCTTTTATTATGTTGAAATGAAGCAGCACAATATGAATGCTTTAAATAAGAAAATGTTCGATGGTGGTCAATAACTTTGTGTTTTCATTGGGTGGCTTGCCCTGTAAGAACTGAGAAGCTTCTTGATAATGAAAAGAGGACAATTTTCGTTCATGTAACACATGTGAAGTAATCCTTAATCAGAGGCGGAGCTAAAATGCGTGTTTGATAGAATTTAGTAACTTTAAAAAGATTATAATTAAGAATTCATAAGCATAAGCTTCAGGTCCGTCTCTGCCTTTAACTAACTAATCACTAATATTTCTTTTTATCGTGGACGTGAGTACCTAACGTGAAAGAGGATAAGTGATTAGAAACTCTATACGGTCGGTCTATGAAATAATGTAATTTAATATAAACTTTAACAAAAGATGAAAAGCAAAATAAAGAAGCAAGGCGTCATTTGATATATATATATATATTTAATTATTATAGGAATTAAATTATTCATATATTAAATTCGATATGAGTAATATTGTTTTATGTTTGATAACATGCTATAATGTTTGGTCGCATAGAATCTTATATATTATATATAAAAAAGAAATAACTAACATATGAATAAAAAAATCCTACGTAATTAATTGGCGTATAAAATAATATTCAATTTTTCTGTATACCACTTATATGGGTGTTCACGGTTTGGATAAAAACCAATTCAAATCGATTAGACAAAACTATTTTTATTTGAGTTTGATTTGGTTTGGTTTTAGATTTTTAAAAATCTGTAGTATTTGGGTTGGTTATGATTTTGTTCAATAAAAACCAAAGAAATAATCGAATCAAATCTATAAATTATATACATATATTTTATTATTATGCATACATAATATATTATTTTTATTAACATTTTTAAATATTTTATATACGTTTTCATCAAAATTTATTTATATTTACTTATGAAAGCAAAAATGTCCAAAGTGAGAACATTTATCTTATTGACTTCATGTATTCGAGAGTCTATGACAATTCTTTGTGGGATTGAAAATGTCATTGTCTCTTCCTTCTAGGCTAAAATAATGAATTTTGAAGCTTTATTCGTAGTAAATTTAATAATCAAAGTTATGTAATGTGAATCATTCTAACTATTTTTCGTTTTAAATGGATTGTTGTCGCTTTTTTCACGTTTTGAATGAATTGTTTCTTTTATTTTTGTATATGATTAATAACTGAATAACCAAAGCAAACCGGACCGAAACCGATAAATATATATTATATTTGGTTTTGAGAATTTTAAGATCAATTAAGTTGGTTTGATTTTAATTTTGACCAATAACCGATCCAAACCGACCCATAAACCCCCCTAACCACTTACATTAAAATTATACTCCCTATTATTTGTTCATTAAAGTATGTTCAAACTTGGTGACCATGTTCATTGGCTCATTTATGTTTATTTGACTGAAAAGTGAGACTCTTTTTTCTTTTTTCCTCTTCATTTTTCCAGCCATGCCCCGTGACACACGCCACGGGCTTGACCCAAGGGCAAATCCAACGTGATACATTAATTTGATTACAATATTTTTGATGCAAAACATAAATTTATATATAAATTTTTTATAACTTTTTAAAGTATTAAATATAAACACAACATAAAGTATAATAATATAATTAATGAGAAAAAACTGAAAAATAAAACTTAAATCTTGAGTTGGCTAGTAAGCCTTAACCAAGGCTAAAGTGGGATGAATTAAGAAAAGAATAACATTTTTTTAGTGAATGATATGGACGGAAAAGGAAAGACATGAGAGAAATATGGCAAAACAAACAACCCTCTCTTTTGATTGGTTTGAGGGACAATACAGACAAGTCTATGCTTTTCTCATTTTAGCACTTATTGTTGTTCATATTCAACGTTTAAATATTCTTTTCATTTTATGGTTTTTCGTTCTACTAAGCGAAATTCTTGTTGAAAAGTGATTCAAAACAAAGTAGAGACACGTAAATTAGGATATGGATAGTTTGGTTGAACTGGTCTTCTGCATTATGTTTGGTAGTTTCCTAGTGTTGCTGAAATAGTATTTTAGTGGGTTATAGGACCTATATTTTAGGATTAGTTATTTATCACTTAGCCTATATATCATGTGGGCATATTTTGTTATTCTGTAACTTCCAATTAATCAAAAATTAAAAGTAGTCCAGTTTTCCTTCTCTTTTTTTTTTTTTTTTATTATTTCCAGATTTCTCTGTACTTTTTCTCCAACAAATTTGGCATCAGAGCCAGTCATGGCAACTAACGGTAGTTCATTGAGTGTGGCACAACCACTTATTCCTGTCTTCAAGGGAGAAAGCTACGAATTATGGAGTTTACGTATGAAAACTATACTCAAGTCTCAAGATCTTTGGGACTTAGTAGAACGTGGATATACAAATCCTGATGAAGAAAATAGGCTACGAGACAACAAGAAAAAAGATGCTAAGGCGCTGGTATTTATCCGACAGGTTGTCCATGACAACGTTTTTTCACTAATCACAACAGCAACTACATCAAAGCAAGCCTGGTCCATTCTGCAGACAGAGTTTCAAGGAGATTCAAAGGTCATTGTGGTGAGACTGCAATCACTTCGGCGTGACTTTGAAACCTTGATGATGAAAAGTGGTGAATCTATTGCTAGTTTTCTGTCAAGAGCAATGACAATTGTCAGTCAAATGCGATCCTATGGAGAGAAGGTTACTGATCAGATTATTGTTGAAAAAGGTATTGAGAAGCTTGAATCCAAAATTAGATCACGTAGTTGCGGCTATCGAATAATCTAAGGATCTATCAGTTTTTTCCTTTGATAAACTGATGGGATCTCTTCAAGCTCATGAGGCGAGAATCAATCGATCAGTAGAGAAGAACGAAGAAAAGACATTCCAAGTGAAAGACGCAACCACTAAATATGGAGATAATAATGATCCAGCAAGTAGAGGCCGAGGAAGAGGAGGATTTTGCGGTGGTCGAGGCCGTGGTTATGGAAAAGGCAGAGGAAGAAATAATGGGCATAGGCAGTCTAATGAGCAAGGCAACACAAATAATGGCGTTCAATGTCATCACTGCCACCGCTATGGGCATATAAAGGTTGATTGTTGGTTTAAAGACCAAAGAATGAATTTTACAGCAAAAGAAAATGAGGAAGAGAATTATCTTTTTATGGCTTGCATTGATACAAACTATAAGCCAAGTGATATATGGTTCGTAGACAGTGGTTGTTCAAATCATGTGACAGGGGCCAAATCTATGTTCAGAGACCTTGATGAGAACCAAAAGAAAATGGTGCAGCTTGGCAACATAAAAGAGATGCAGGTTAAAGGAAAAGACAAGGTGGTTGTAGACACTAGCCACGACAAAGTAAAAATGTTGGATGATGTTCAATTCATACCAGATTTAGGATTCAATTTGTTAAGTGTTGGACAACTAATAGCTGATGGATATTCTCTTTTGTTTGATGATGATGCTTGTGTCATTACAAACAAGAAGTCGGGAAAAAAGGTTCACATCACCAAGACACCAAATAATATGTTTCCGCTGGACGTTTCTAACATGGAAAATTTTGCTCTCGCTGCAAGTGCAAAGGACGACTTGAAGCTATGGCATTTGAGGTACGTTCATCTCAATATAAAGGGCCTGAAATTGCTAGGTGATAAAGGTATGGTTCTTGGATTACCAAAAATTAGCTCTCTTGATTTATGTGAGGGATGTATTTATGGAAAACAAACCAGGAAATCTTTTCCTGTTGGAAAAGCATGGAGAGCTTCAAAATGTTTGGAACTAATGCATGCTGACTTATGTGGTCCTATGCAGACTAAGTCCTTAAGGTGGAAGTCGTTATTTCTTCTTGTTAACTGACGATTATAGTCGCACGAGTTGGGTGTATTTTCTGGAGAACAAGTCTGAAACATTTGAAAAGTTTCAGAAATTTAAAACTTTGGTGGAAAACCAAAGTAGCTGCAGTATCAAAGTTCTTCGCACAGATAGAGGAGGATAGTTCGTGACTAATGAATTCAATTTGTTTTGTGAAAAAAATGATAGCCATAGGGAGTTAACAACTCCTTATACTCCGGAGCAAAATGGTGTCGCTGAACGGAAGAACCGAACCATTGTGGAGATGGCAAGAAACATGTTGCGAGTAAAAGAACTCTCGAATCAGCTCTAGGCAAAAGTTGTGGCAGCATCTATTTACTTACTGAATGTTTCACCAACAAAAGCCGTCATGAATAAAACTCCTTATGAAGCTTGGCATTGCAGGAGACCAAATGTAAGTCATTTACGGGTTTTTGGATATGTTGCTTATGCGTTGGTAAACTCACAAGCTTGTCAAAAGCTTGATAAGAAATCTGAAAAATGCATTTTTGTTGGTTATTGTACTCCATCCAAAGCATGTAGATTGTATAACCCTCTTAATGGAAAGATCTCAGCTAGAAATGATGTAATATTTGATGAAAATACAAGCTGGGAATATAGTAAAAAGTTGATCCGGCAAGAGATTCCTGTGCCTCTTGGAATCACTGAAGAAGAAGAAAATCGGTCAACCCCTGCAAGTTCACTTTCAGGTTCTTCCATGGAGTTACCCATCTCACCGATTTCAGCAACTCATGAAGAATCTTCAGATGGGATAGTTCCATTAAGAAGATCAATAAGGCTTAGAATGCCAAATTCCAAGTATGATAATAACCTTTATGCGACTTGTCAATTTGCTTTTTCTATTTCAGATCCCTTAAA